CTGGCCTCTTGATTTCCTCCTCAGCCTCATCTCCTGCCTCTGCCTATTTCTGTGCTTCAGCCACACTAAATACTTTGCTCCTTTATGAGTTCTCTCCTCATAACATTTTACCTCATAAACTTTTCGCTTTTTTTCCCTCTCCCTGGAACATTGTTCCGTCATATAATCACATGCTCATTCCTTCACTTCATGCTCAAATGTCAGCTCTTCAGAGAAGCCTTTCTGCCTGACCACTCTCTTTACTCCCTAACCTTTTTACCATATATGTTTTTTACCATACTTTATTCTTCTTTATAGATTTTCCTTTAGCTGACTTTTTCTTTCATTTGTATATTATCTGTTTATTGTCTTCTGCGCCTCCTTGCTAGAATGTTAAAATTGTGAGGACGGGTACTCTGTCTTGTTCACTTTTAAGCTTCTAGTATGTAGAATCAGTGCTAAGTATATGTTGGATTGGTCAATGAATGGAGAAGCACTAATTAAGTGCTTCTTGAACCCTCTGTAGTGAAAGATGAATTTTTTAATTACCAATCTGTCACAATCTAGTACTTTTTTAAAATGCAATAAGGTGGATTTCAAGAAAAATGAAATATGTATTTCTTAGTGTTATTTTATTATTAGATTCAACATAGTGTTACTCCGTCAGATTGTTATAAAAATTTCTAAAAACAACAAGATCCAACACCCATTTATGATAAAAACCCTCAGTAAAATGGGTATAGAAGGAAAGTACCTCAGCATAATAAAGGCCATATATGACAGACCCACAGCCAACATCATACTCAATGGACAAAAACTGAAAGCCATCCCTCTGAGGACAGGAACAAGACAAGGGTGCCCACTTTCACCACTCCTATTCAACATAGTACTGGAGGTGCTGGCCAGAGCAATTCGGCAGGAAAAAGAAATAAAAGGAATCCAAATAGGTAACGAAGAAGTAAAACTCTTGCTGTTTGCAGACGACATGGACTTATATATAGAAAACCCCAAAGAATCCATAGAAAAACTATTAGAAATAATCAACAACTACAGCAAAGTAGCAGGGTATAAAATTAACGTGCATAAGTCAGTAGCATTTCTATACACTAACAATGAACTAACAGAAAAAGAACTCAAGAACTCAATCCCATTCACAATCGCAATGAAAAGAATAAAATACCTTGGGATAAATTTAACCAAGGAAGTGAAGGATCTACACAATGAAAACTACAAGACTTTCTTGAAAGAAATTGACGATGACATAAAGAGATGGAAAGACATTCCATGCACATGGATTGGAAGAATAAACATAGTTAAAATGTCCATACTACCTAAAGCAATCTACAGATTCAATGCTATCCCAATCAGAACCCCAAGAGCATTCTTCACAGAAATTGAACAAACAATCCTAAAATTCATATGGGGCAGCAAAAGACCGCGAATTGCTAAAGTAATCCTGAGCAAGAAAAACAAAGCTGGCGGAATCACAATCCCCGATTTCAAAACATACTACAAAGCTACAGTGATCAAAACAGCATGGTACTGGTACAAAAACAGGTCCACAGATCAATGGAACAGAATTGAAAGCCCAGAGATAAAACCACACTTCTATGGACAGCTAATCTTCGACAAAGAAGCAGAGGGCCTACAATGGAGAAAAGAAAGTCTCTTCAACAAATGGTGCTGGGAAAACTGGACAGCCACATGCAAAAGATTGAAAATTGACCATTCTTTTTCACCACACACCAAAATAAACTCAAAATGGATCAAAGACCTAAAGATTAGGCCTGAGACAATAAGTCTTTTGGAAGAGAATATAGGCAGTACACTCTTTGACATCAGTTTCAAAAGAATCTTTTTGGACACTATAACTCTCAGTTGAGGGAAACAATAGAAAGAATAAACAAATGGGACTTCATCAGACTAAAGAGCTTCTTCAAGGCAAGGGAAAACAGGATTGAAACAAAAAAACAGCTCACTAATTGGGAAAAAATATTTACAAGCCACTTATCTGACAAAGGGTTAATCTCCATAATATACAAAGAACTCACACTGCTTAACAACAAAAAAACAAACAACCCGATCAAAAAATGGGCAGAGGACATGAACAGACATTCTCAAAAGAAGATATGAATATGACCAATAGACACATGAAAAGATGTTCATCATTGCTAATCATCAGGGAAATGCAAATCAAAA